TTGTTGCAGAGAAATCCGATTGAAAATCGCGAAAATTTTTCACTGGGTAGGCTCTAAGAACCGTAATCGTTAAATGCGTTGAGTCCCAGAAGAATATTTATTGGAATGAATTGATATACTAGTTGGACAACATAAACCCCAAGTTAAACTTTTTTTACTACAACTTGTTAGACTTAGCTTACTTTAAAATATGGCGTGTCGTAAGGAATGTTAATGATTTGGATCCAAACTATTCGAACAAACTTGATTTATTCGGCTCGTATTTAATTTTTAGTCAGATCATCAATACCCAAAATTCAGACATTCTATGAGACGCTTTGATGATTCTTTTTGAGCAAAAATACATCCGTATAACATGGAAATGTTCAATGTTTATACATCTAGAGCTAATGCGCTTTCCATGTGAAAATTTAAGCAAAAAAGTTCGCTTACAGTGGTATCTTCAAGCGCTTTAAAGCACTTGATTTCAATGAAGGGACATTTGTAGATGATTCTCTCCGACTGCCATCATAATGTGCCTGCTTGCATAGTACCTCTACGACGTCATAACCCTCAAAAGACTCTGTCTTCTCCATATCTTATTCAGATAATGGTTTCTCACCGAACTCCTAAACTACCAGCTTTTGAAAAGAAACGTATTTTTGAACTTCGTCTTGCAATTTTGTATACGTGAAGGTCTTAATGAGGTTATTTCCTATATAAAATTTCATTAATTTTGAATATTGCGATGTCAGAATATGAATTTCTCAAAAGACATACCTTTTCAAGTGTTCTGAAAAATATAGAAATTCATTTTGAAAAATTCACGCCCTGACATCGCAATATTCAAAATTAGTGAAATTTTGTATAGAAAATAGTCTCATTAGGACCTTCACATATACAAAATTGCACGATTAAGTTCAAAAATACGTTTCTTTTCAAAAGCTATTAGTACAGGAGTTGGGTGAGAAATCATTATCTGAATTGAATGTGGACAAGACCCAGTCAGATAAACAACGAAAATAAAGTCGCAAATATGAACAGTTTTGCGATTTCGATTTCTCTCAAGAAGTTTAACGCGTTTTTATACGTTTGACTTCTGAACTGATTAAATTGTTAGAGAAAATAGCTCTATCCATAGACTTAGTTTGCATAAAAAATAGTTCCGACGGGTTCTTAGTTATTACAATTTTTTATTTTCGTGTAACAATCACTTATGACCTTTAATTTTCTACAGTAAGAATCACTATCAAATAGAAATTCTTACCGTAGAAAATCAAAGTCATAAGTCATTGTTACAAGGCGATAAAAATTGTAATAACTAAGAACTCGTCTGAACTATTTTTATACAAACTAAGTCTATGGATAGAGTTATTTTCTCTAACAATTTACTCGATTAAGAAATAAAAAAGCCCAGTAACAAGCGAAACTGTACGATAAAAACTATTCTAACTACAAAAATCTTATCTGATCACAAGACATTGCGTGAAAGTAATATATATAAAAATGACCGATAAGCTTCCAGTTTATTTTGACTATCTTTGAACATTTCGAATATTCTAAACTAAACAAACATTGAGGATACATTGTGAAGACTACATCTGAGCAAATATTCACATTTGATTCACTAAACTACTTTCATCAATAATAGGTGCATTATTGGAAAATATTTATTAAATATTAAAATAATTTAACATTTGTATTTTATATAGTCGAATGGTAAACTCAATTTGAACGTGAGTTTTTATCTAGAGAAGATAAAAGATGTGATGTAAAAGAATAAAAACATGATCTGATAAAATTATTTTAAGATGATTCTCAATAAAGCACTTTCTTATTAATGATGGCAGATGATTTTGATAGATTTTGGATAATAATATAGATGTTACTTTTTAAATATATATTCTCATTCGTTGTCCAACTTTAGACACCAGAAAAATATAAAAAATTGAAATGGATTGGAAACTTATAAAGCACCATATATATCATCAAAACTTATGAAATAATACCTAACTAATATTATTTGCTTCTTCTTTTTCTACTACTGACCTAAACAGAAAAATTAAAGAATGAAAATTCTATTTTGTTCAAGACAATAAATAGAAAGATGAAAGACTGACATGACTGATAAAGCTCGATCGCTTTATATATATATCTATGACGAATTTTTCATGATACGTTTTATTAGTATACAGCGCACTTTTTTGCTGCAGAACTCTGCTTCTATCCGTTTATCCTACCCTTACTCCTATAGTCTCATATCTGTAGCCTTATCACTATATCTTTACGCCTAGAGCCTTGTGCCTATATCCTTGCTATAACACCCTTATACCTATGTCCTTACCTCTATACTCATATAGCTATAGCCTTATCTCTATAGTCTTACAAATAAATCCCTATATATATATGCTCTAACCCCTAGACTGTTATACCTATCGTCTTAACTCTATATCCTTATACATATATGCTTACCCTTGTACACTTTTATCTAAATATCCATCCGTTTACACTTTTTTACCTATACACCCTGATATTTATAGCGTATACTTATACGAGTATTAATATTCAATAATTCATAGCCATGATCTTTTCGATAATAATCGTCACCATCTTTATATACTTGAAATATATCATATTCATCTTTTTTATTACTTTAAATTCAATAATATCACCACATTCTATATGTGCTGGCGGTTCTTCAGTAAATGGATCATTAACTACGTCTATGACATGAATCATTTTTGGTTGTTCATCACCTTCAATATTATCATTTGGCATATGACCTTGTAATTAAGTCATACAAGTGTGCACTAAACAATGAAGTGTGTTATTTGTATTTTATATAGACTTATTTAAATTTTCAATCACAAA